CTTTGTTTAGCTAGGCAGACCATTTTTTTTCCCCTGCACTGTTTTTCTTTCCCTTTCCTGAATACCATTCGAACCTGCTCCACTCTGGGACCTGGGAAACACCGAGAAACACCGAGAGCCTGCATTTTGTGACCTGCAGCAGCCATCCCCAGTGCCAGAGACCGATGACTGGGTAAGCACTCCAGGAGAGACTTTCTAAATTTGTTATATCTTCAGAGTGGTGAAAGAGTTTTTGTCTTCGGGTGGTGTTTTTGTGCCAGGGAGTGCTTCTGTCTGTTAAATAAACAGGTTTTTTCCTCCAAGGAAATTCTTCCCAAACCAGGTTGTGTGGGAGGGGCCATGGGGGTTTGCTGTCTGGTTATATAAGAAAAGTTTAGCTAAAGCTACTCTATTATCTCTTTTTACTTAGGATTTTTTTTTCTATCATCTTCTGACATCTCAGGTCTTAGGCTGTCTCTCTTCTCTTTTAGATTAAGGAGGAGTAGTGTTTTGCAAAGTTTTTTTTTTTTTCTTAGGAAAGGGTTAAAAGTCTTGAGCTCTTAGGACAGCTGAGATTTCACAGTGGGTTGCCAAACTGCCACGGCTGGGCACCTACCTCCCCCCACCACCTCTGTCTTCTCTGTGGCTACTGCCACACATGACATCAAATTTCCCGGTGGAACGGACACTACGGCATCTTTGCGGCCTCTCTCCAGTCTGTCCAAATCTCTTTGGTACTGGAGATCCCAGAACTGGACACAGCACTGGGAAAGGATGTCCTCTGTTGGCTGAGGTACAGGCCAACTCAGGTGTCTCAGAGTCTAAGAGAGTGAACAGCAGAGAATAAGGTGTTGAAAGAACAAGCAAAAAAAACTGGACAGGAAAGTTGAGTCACAGCCCACAGAACAGTGTTTGGAAGAGTTTTCTAGCAGAAATCCTGAACACTAAATTGCATGTGGCCTTGAGGCAGACCCTGAAGGTTTTGTGAAGTGCCTCAAGGCTGAGCCTCTTGTCCTTCTCTCCCAAAAGTGTCAGGGTCCCTTCAGAGACATGGCCAGAAGCAGAGGAGAGGAGGGAATGGGGGAATTCCCCAGGGAATGGGGGTGCAGAGACCTAGAGGAAAAGAGCCCTGGCACATGGCTGGGAGCCTGGGAGAGGGGCTTTAGCAAGCCTACTCCTGGCCTGGCTCACCCTGAGCCTGCTGCTGACCCCAGGGGCTCCAGAGCAGAGACCAGGACATTTCACCTACCTGGAAGATGTCCTGGGAAAAGTCCAGGGCCAGAGTCCAGCTGTGCTCCAGTTTGCCTGATTCTATTTCACCTTTCCAGAGTGGGTAAAAGGGCACTGAAAATGTTGCGTTTTCCACATATATCTGGAATTTAAATAATAGCAAGGAACTGAGAGGAGGCTGAAATATGAACATTTTGCAGGAGGCTTGAGAAGAACAGGAAGAGCTCTCCTTTGGCAAGAGGAGACATATTTTTTTAATGTATTTTGAGAAAAAGTTAATCCCAGTAAGAGAGAAAGAAAACATCCCCAGGAAATGTCAAACAAATACAGCTGGTCATATGAACATTCAATTAGTGCATTTACCCAGCAGCAGATTTGAGCACAAATGTTAAAAGAAATTTTGTAAGCAAATATTCAGCCAATGGCTTTCAAATAAATTTTCTTTTCAGTAATGAAATACAAAGATACTGCTCTGACAGAGGTAGGAATGGAGAACTATACAACTGCCTTCAAAGCTATAGTCACCCACTGGTATTCTGAAAAAAGCTGTCATGTAAGCTTGATCTTTAGTTAGTTTAAAGTAAGCTTTAATAACCTCTGTATGTTTAAATGACCTTTAGTATGTTTAATGACCTTTAGTATGACCTTTAGATAGTTTAAAGAGGATATCAATTAAGTTTTACTAATTAAAAAAACCTAAAAACCAAAAAACCAAAAAAAAATCCACCCCACAATGCCTTATTTAAGCTCTCTTAATATAAAAAAATGTCAAACTGAGAACAAAGGTATGACAGGAAGAGTATTGAGAGGCTGTTGGAAGGGATAAAACATTGCCAGTCTTTTTGAGAAAGAAAAGAAATGCTGATATTGTGAGCCTCAAATTTAGAGTAGTTGTACTTTAACTTTTGTTTAATTTTCAGTCCCATCCTTTAAGCTCATCCTCCACTCCATGTCTTATTTAACTCCTTACTTTCTTTTCCTGCTAGTGTAAGGCTTCCTCATGGAAGAACAAAAGGGTTTTTAGTAAAATATTTTCAGCTTCTGTCTTTGAAACCTCCAGTCATGTATTACACAGAAATTGCAATTGATTATTAATGAAGCTCTGCTGATTCAAGTTATTCAAAGCTCTGATTAATTGGGAAATAACCAACCAAAGAAAATACCCTAAGCCACACAACCAAATGCCACTGGCATCTGCAATGTGGATATGAGCAATTAGGGTAAAAAAGCTGTGGAGAAACAGGTTATATACTTCAAGAGCGCAGTCACATGGAAAAGAAAATAACATTTAAAGCTCTGGTAAGACAAAGGGATTAATGTCCCTACTCTATTTTTTGAGAGACCCTAAGGGACTGGTTTCTCTGGGGAAGGAATCTTCTGAAAAAGAAGTTTGGGGACAATGAGTACTGAGAGGATGAGGGTATGGATTACAATGGAAAGATTATAAGGAGAACTGGAGAACAAAAATGTATAGTTCATTTTTCCCTTTTGGATTAAAAAAAAAAAAACAAACCTAAATATTATTATTGAGGGCCACAATCACCAGGGAAGTTTTAGGTTGGCTATTAGGAAAAAATTATTTGCTGGAAGAGTGGTTAAACACTGGAACAGCCTCCCCAGGGAAGCAGGGGAGTCACCATCCCTGGAAGTATTCAAGAACTGAGTAGACATGGCATTCTCAGTGTGGTTTACTGGCCATGATGATAACCTATACAAGGTTGGACTTGATGATCTTGGAAGTATTTTCCAACCTTAAGGGTTCTATAATTCAAATTATTAATTACTATAATTCAAATTATTAATTTACTGCCAGTGGGTGGTGCTTCCTCACTCAGGTGTTCCTGTGTGGTCAGGACTCAAAACTAGTGAAATTTCCTCACTCTCTTTAAGGTGAATGAAAGACCCTCTGAACTCCCAAGCAGGAATTTGAGGGGTGAAATTCATGTATTGAAGATAAGATTTTTACAGGTTGTCCAGAGATGAAATCTTTTTCAAATACTTCAACACTTCATAAATTATGCACAAAATACATCTAAAATTTTTACAAATGCAATATTTACATTGTTTACATGGTTTGACATGGAAGAGAATTTTCTCCGGAAGCTGGTAGTCAAACCAATCAGTGTCACGTTTGGATGTTGGCACCTCGAGTGACCACTGAAGGCTGGGCACGCCTCTGAGAACACAGGGGGTTAAAAGCAAGAACTCCCAGGAGAACTTGCTCTCTTTGGTTCTGGTCATCAGAGGGTGCAGACCTCGCCCAGCCAGCCTAGGGCTGGGTTGGGGAGGGGAAGCCATGCGGCCTGGGAGAGAAGGGTCTGGAACAGAGCCAGCTCCTGCAGATGGAAGGGTGGAGGAGGAAGTCTGAGATTTCTTTGTTCCCCCCATCTTCCCTCCCCCCAGCCTGAAAACACCTGGAAGTTTGCCTGCAGAGGAGAAGGAGAAGAGGGCGGAGGTGCCCAGCATAAGACATGGAGTCCTGGGCCAAGATTTCACCTGGGACTTTTAACCCTTTCCTGGGGAATGAAGGCTTTGTGAAATATCACTCCTCCTCGATTTGAGGGAGAGAGACAGCCTGGGACCTGAGATGTTAGGGAAAGAAGGTTGGGGGGAGATGATGGAGTGGCTTTAGGCTGGACTTTTCTTGTTAGCCACAGACTGAACCAATTTCTCCTCCAAGAGAGGCTACATTTTAGAGGGATGCATGGTGAGCCAAGAGACCTGCTTCAGCAACTACCAGTGCAGGAATGGAGTGAACAGAGAAAAGCTGAGGAGGGTGTGATGATGCCCTCCGTCTTCAGGAAGATGAAGATCTCTGTTTTCACAGGGGAGGCTTGGCCTTGGGGAGGGCCCAGGGGAGGAGGAAAATGGGGGTGACTGTGGTCCCAAAATGAGACACTGGACTGTTGTTCCTGTTGGTCCTTGTCAAAGTCCTTAAAGGAGCCCTGTGAGCAGTCTGTCCACGCACAGTGGTGAGAGTGCCGTGCATGGAAAGAAGAGTGTCACACTGGCAGATTTTCTCTGGCAGTGCCATGTGTGACATGGCAACACAAGAAGTGGCAATTGTGTTTCCTGGGGCTCTATGTTGCAAGCGAGACTCCTCTCTCCCTTGATGGACTGAGTACTGATTATATTGAAGGGTTGATAACTTGATTAAGGGTCCAAGTTGTGTCTCATTGTGACTTGTTGGAGTTGGGTAGGGGGAAGAGGAATGTTTTGGAAGGTTTTCATTTTGGATTTAGTGTGTGGTTTTTTTTCTTTTTCCTTTTATCATAGTTGTAGTTTAATAAAGTTTTTTTTTCCCTTTGTTATTAAGCTTGGGCTTGCTCTGCTCTGTTCAGGATCACATCTCACAACATTTATTTGGGAAGGTGCATTTTCATGGGGGTTGCTGGCATTGCGTCAGCATCAAACCGTGACAACCTGTTATTCAGACATCAGCAGTAGCTTTCCATGAATGATGAGCTGAGGCACTGTGTTCCTTCTGCTTGATTTCCACTTCCCATCCATTGTCTCTCAATGGATTATCCGATGCATGAAGGCACCTCATGGAGTTCCTTCAGATACCTCAATTTTTGTCTCTGAACTGAGCAGCCACTGTCATCACTTCTCCAATGAAGTTAATTTTCCTTAATTTAGCTTCAGTTTTCGTCTTTTTACTTTTGCTTCTTTTAGGAGGAAGTGACTTCAGGGTCAGTGACTTGTCCCATGGAAGTTCTCTGTGGAATCTTCTATAGGTTGAACATAATTTCTTTCCAATCAGTTCCAAACAATTAATGTTTTTCTGAAGCTGTTTTCAGCTTATATTTATTACCATTAACACTGCTACAATCCACTTATTACTGTTGAATAGAATAAGACCTATTATGCAATCACTTGGTTTTCATAGCTCCTACTTAGTTCCCTTATTATGTCCTTGTAACTAACTAAATCTATGACAATAAATAATCTATGACAATAATGAATTTTTTTCAATTTCACTTTCTTTTCCCTTACAATAAACATATTAATAATGAATCTTGATACTCATATTGCCTTATCAATCACTGTATTCTGTGCTTTGCCATAAGAATTATTTCAACATTTTGCTTCCTGTCATAATCAAACTTCAAAATACAGCATGTTTCCTCCTCCATTGGAAAACAGGACAACACACTTTCTTAAAAATTTAAGCTGGGATACTCTGGTGAAAAGTTTGTTTGAATCCATATAAAAAATATAAATTAATTTCTTTTTGATTACCCCTATACAGTTGAAGGATGTAACTCAGAAGTCTCACAATTAAATATATTGTCATTGTAATAATCTTGAAACCCAGAGTTTATTACAACAGCTATATTGTTATCAGTGACAACAAAAGGTAAAATATAGATAATTTTAAAGAGCAATTTGTGGTGTCTTTTTCTGATGAACAAATATATTAGAAGGACCTAATTTATTCACCTGAGCTTGGCATAATGACTAAGTAATCTAAAATCAAGCTTGTTTTCTTTTACAAAAATATAGCTATCTTCAGCATTTTCTTAAAAACCTGGTGTGGTTGGGACAATACTTGGATGTTGTTTCATTATTTCTTAGCATTAGAAACAGAAAAGAGCACCATTAGGACAAATACTGCAGATTAATTATTTTTCTACATGGCAGCTTCAAATCTGTTGTGCTCCTCACGGTGCCTGGAGTAAATTTCAGGTATTGTCTCCTCCTCTGGAACCTGCCATGAAAACAAAAAGAGGTCAGTTAAGGATATATAGATTTGCTTTTGTCATAAAAGAAGACTAAATTGTGCCGAGAACGTAATTCTATTAGTATATGTTATATGTCTGTTTATTAACATTGATACAGCCTGACATGAGCCATCAATTCTGGATACTGAGGGATAAACTCAGGGTTTTCTTCATAGAAGAAGGAGTTTAATTTATCAAAAAATGAATAAAATTTCCTGTAACTTCACATTTTATTTACAAGGAATGTATATTTATATATTCTTGCCTTGCCTTTTTGGGTTTTTCCTGGCATAAAACAATAAAGTTCAGATTGCCTAAATTAAGAATATGTCATCAACCTCTGATAAAGAAGAGGATACCTGATACAGTGAGCATGTAAGAGAGAGATAAAGGCCTCCACTGTGATATCCATTTGTTGTCTCTCTTTCTGCTTTTTGTTCAAGGCGAGTCCAATGAAAAAGGCATGATTACTTAAAATGGCCAAAAGTATCCTGAAGGTGGCCTGGCCTTGATAAATTCACAGCCTGAGGCAGAGCAGGATTTTTTAATTTTGAAGGGGCAGCCTTTCTGATTCATGTGTGCAAACCACAAAGCCCAGGAAAGTGGGGTTGCAGTGATTATACATCCTCCAACATAATGAAAATTAAAGGAGGTTGTGTCTTACCTCCCAATAAGCAGAGTCATCAAAGCAGTTCTGGTCAGATACTTGTCCCAAGAAGGGGAGTTTTAGAATAGCACCTGCGGGAAAACCAGGATCAGAGGTTTAAAAAATGAAGAAAATGACCAAATAATGTCCCTCAGCTGTGCCCTAGGCAGCCAGCTACATTTTCTGACTGATCTCCTCATCTACAGGAGTGCCGAACCATTCTGGGACATTGGGTCAATTATTCTGAGGGGTGATGCAGATTTCATTATACAAACATAAGTAAGAGCATAAATAACAGCTTGCTTTTAATTGACCAGATATCAGACCAAAATTTTCTATTTCAGCCTGACATTCTGTTTGTTTGTTTGGAAGTATTCACAAACACATGGAAACACATGACACCTCATTGAGTAGGTCTTGATCTCAAACTAATTTCTGTTCAGAATTTAAAGTGTCTGAATCTGGAGAAGAATTCCTTCCAGAACAACACTTTATTAATCCTATAGATATAAAACTCAGTATTTTTGGAGCATGTATTCAGCAAGATATACAGAATCACAATATCAAGAAACATTAAGGTTGGGAAAACTTCCAAGATCATCAGGTCCAATCTTAGACCAAACACCATCTTGTCAGCCAGACCAGAGCTCTGAGTGCCACATCCAGTCACTCCTTGGACACCTCCAGGGATGGGGACTGCACCACCTCCCAGGGAAGTCCCTTCCAATGCCTGACCACCCTTTCAGTGAAGAAATTCTTCTTGACAAACCTGAACTTCATTTGAAGACAAAAATATTGGAAAACTACTTTTCCATATTTGAGTTTCTGGCATCAGGACCCATTTTTAAAATTTTGTATTATTCACACAAAATTGTTGATACATTTAAGTTTTCCATGGAAAAACCTCTAAATTCACATGTGTATTTAGTCACTATAAGCATCGTACTAACCTGTGAGTGCTCCTCCCACAATTGCAATTCCAAGTGTACTTCCCAGGGCAGCAGCCTGCAGGGCAGGAGTAAGCACGTGACCATTCCTGAAAAGGGTAGAAAACCAAATCATTGCCCATCAAAAAATTGTTACACTTTGAGACTGATGATCAGTCTTACAACTTGCTGCATGCTGGACAAGGTGACTGATAGAAAAATATCCCAGAATCTTTAGGGTTGAAGACCATAAAGATTCTTGAGAACTCAAGAACATTGAGTCCAACAAATCCTGCCATTGCTGTATACAAGACAGAACTCATGACTTTAATTTAACTTTTTTTAGGCTATAGATGAAAACAAGTTCTTTGAGAATATTATTAAGTCCTGTATGTCATTAAAGAATACTCCCTACTGTCAAAACGACCAGCATTTCATCTTTTTGGAGTCTTATGAGATAGTGGAAAAAAGCCATTTTGCCTTTTTTTTTTTTTTTGAAAGCTTACAAATACCAGAAGTGTAATTGAAGAGTCATAATAAAAAAATTCTATGTTATGGTTCAGTGTGCTGTTTATAATATTTCCATTTATTTATTTTTATTTGAGCTTTTAATCTGTAACAAACCTGGCATTTAAACAGTGTGTTAAAGGCAGGAGATCAAGAAGAACCCAAATTAAATGAGAATACAATGCCTGACATCAAATCAATGATGCGTTTCTGAAAAAAATCATAATTAAATCCAAAGAAGGTAGCAAATTAGAATAGACCTTCAAAAATCAAAAAACTTCTTTCTCTCTTCTCTCTATAACTTACCTAATTTCCGTTTTTACTGCAGTCACTATGATGCCAGCAATACCCCCCAGAATTCCAGGTAAACCATGTAAGTTATGAACTCCACAAGTGTCTTGAATTTTCAGCTTGGATGCCATCACAGGCTGAAATGAGGGGAAATAGGAAACTTAGAGTGAGTTTACAGTTTTCCACGATCTCTAGATGCAAAAGGAAGAGCAGAAGTACAATAATCAAATCATTATTAAAAGTCATCATTACCTGGATTTACTGTATCTATCCTCCCTTTGTAGCAAACCCAGGGAGCTCCAGGAAAGCCAAAGATAAATAAAAAATGGGAGCAGAGCTGGGTCCCCAATACTTACAGTCAGGAACTGGAACCCAAGGACAGAGACCATTCCAGCAATGACCCCAATGAACATGGCAGAAAAAGGATGGATTTCCAGGTCAGCACAGGTACCCACTGCTACTCCTCCTGCCAGGGTGGCATTTTGAATGAGAACCTGCAGAGGGGACACAGAGCGAGGCAGAGGTGACACATGAGGATCAGTGGCTTGTTTTAGGGCTGAGTGCCTCTGAAGGCTTCCTTGCACATGCTGGGCTCAGACAAGTAACTGCAGCTGCTGGAAAGGAGTGGGTGAAAACTGAGCTGGATTTTAGGGCAAAGGCATAGAAGCTGGTTTGATTTTGTCTGTTGTGCAGATGCACTGAGATTTCCAGGGAATGGGTCATTTCCTTGAGAGACCATTTGGCTGTTGTAATAAGGAAACTCAATTAGGAACTTCTCTGGAATAAGATTCAAAAGTCCACCTGAGCACTGGACTAATGTCTTTATGGTCCAGCAGGTTCTGTGAACGAGAGAGAATCATCACAGAATCATTAAGGCCAGAAGAGACCTTTGAGATTAATAAATCCAACCATCAAACCAGTACAACAACCATGCTCCCAGTCTACTACACTGCTTTCCACCCTTTTCTGTGAAGAAATTTCTCCTAATATCCAGTCTAAACCTGCCCTGATGCAACTTGAGGCTGTTTTCTTTCTTCCTGTCACTTGGTGTTTGAACCTTTCTTCCTCAGGGAGTTGTAGAGAGTGAGAAGATCCTCCCTGAGCCTCCTTTTCTCCAGACTGAGCCACCCCCACCAGCTCCCTCAGCCACTTCTCATCAGACTTTATAGGTTTTACAAGTGTAATAGCTCTAATTCTGGCCATAGTATGGGGAAAGGCTCCAGATAGCCTGGACAGATCGATGGACACTGGGAATCTGCCTACTCATCCTTACTGGAGAGGGTTTCCTCGATTTAGCAAGGGTTATGATGTGATTCTTACCATACTGAATTTGCCTCTTTTGTCCACCAAGCTGGAGAGGGCAAATGTTACGACAGTACAGGCAGCCAAGGAGTAGTAAGTGTTGATAATGGCTGTTACCTGGGCATCTGCAATGGCAGAGTTAAAACTGGGCCAAAAAAGCCAAAGAAACAGGGTACCTGCATGAATAGAAGTCAAAACAAAGCAAAAGCTGTTTAGTCACAAGGGCCAATACAACAGAGTGAGCAACAGGAAATGAGGACAATGATTAATGAGAAACATGGGATGGCCAAAATTCTGGAAGAAGTAATAGAATATGCAGAAGCTTTTGACACTGGCAGCTGGGATTTTGACACATGGTCTCTTGTCAAATATTACTGGAAGGCTTTAATGACCCCTTGTCATGCCCCACTCATTGTCAGAGCTCACCACTAGTGTGAAACCCGAGCCAGAACAGGAGGCACAGGCAACACAATTCACATGCAAATCCTTTATCCTCTATCAATAAAACTGAAAGTTTTAGCTGGTGCATTGGTTTATGAACAGTTCTCATGGACAGATAGATATATGGCTTCTGACATTCATTACCATGACAGGCACAACTCAATGCTTCTAATTATGGACAATTGCTTTGGCAATACTGCTGAAAAGCACAAGATTTAACAGAAAGGCAATCACCACTAATGCACAGTGCAAACACAATTTATTTGATTTTTCCATCCTTGGAAGCAAGGAAAAGCTGTAAAAATATGTGTACTACAGAATGCAGTGCATGCATGAGACTAAAAGGAATTTGCCTCCAGAAGTGTATTTGGGAAAATGAATGTAGCATAATAATAGGTAATGAGGAAAAAAAAGGGATGGGAGAGGGTTGAACATCTGAACAGCTCTCGATTTTACTTCACTTACCAATCATGGCAAACATGTCTGAGTGATAGGTGGATTCATCATTTTCATGTTTGTTTGTCAGACCAGGACGGTACAAGACGAAAGCTGCAGCCAAACCAAAATAAGCTCCAAAAGCATGGATAGTCATTGAAGCTCCAACATCTGTGGCCTGTAACAGGAGCCAGAATAATGCCACATATTTTATACAGCATAAAGACAAGGGTCGGATGAACAAGAAGTCTGGAGGACTTAATGGTTTAATTCTGTGGTGGAAACCAAAGCCTAGCATAAGCAAACTGGAAGTATTACAAAGTGAAAGTGTTTGTTATAAAGAGAAAATAATTGCTAAACAGTTGTACCTTGAATACTTTGGTAACTAGGTGTTCATTGCATGCAAACATGGTGATCTCCAGGAGAGTCAGGATCAGCATCTGAATGGGACTTGTTTTTCCCAGGAGTGCCCCAAATGAAATCAAAGCAGTTGCTGTACTGAAGTCTGCATTTATCATGCTGAAGTTAAGAAAAAAAAAAAAAAAAAAAAAAGCGAAAACTAGTTTAAAAGCTGTAATATCCAACATGCCATTAAATGACATCATTAAAATTATAGAGCCTTAACTCTTCAGATACAAAATTAACAAGTTCATCTTCATGGATGAAAATTAAATCAAAAATTTCCAGATGGATTTGTAAGGATCTTACCAGCTAGTGAAAAGTAAGTGTAGAAGCTTTCCTCCTGCTTACACCATACGTGTGCTTTGCTGGTTGGAATTATGATGAAAAGGCAGATGAGAAGTGTATGGGGATGTGCAGGGATGTCATGAAATTACAGAATCATTAAAATTGGAAAAGGTCTCTTAGACCATTTTTAGTACTGCCAAGTCCACCACTAAACCATGTCCCTCAGTGCTACATCTGCAGGTTTTTAAAACACTTCCAGGGATGTTGACTCCACAGCTTCCTTGGGCAGCCTGTTCCAATGCCTGATCACCCTTCCTGTGAAGAGATTTTTCCTAATATCCAACTAAACCTCCCTTGTGTTTCTTCTTGTAACTTCAGGCCATTTCTTCTTGTCCTGTCACTCATTCCCTGGGAACAGAGCCCGACCCTCACCTGGCTGTCCCCTCCTGTCAGGAGTTGTGCAGAGCCAGAAGGTTCCACCTGAGCCTCCTTTTCTCCAGGCTGGGCCCCCCCAGCTCCCTCAGCTGCTCCTCCTCAGACTCACACTCCAGACCCTTCCCCAGCTCCTTTGTCCTTCTCTGGACAGGCTCCAAGGCCTCAGTTTCCAGCCCTGACTGCCACCCAGGCTTCAAAGATGACAGTGGGGTTTTTGGTGATATGATTTATATAACCCTGGAAGCCTTGCATACCTGTCTGTCTCTGTGCACCATCTTTGCATGAGCTGTCAGGCAGAACCAGTGTTAATATGTTTTGGGGATTGGCAAAGGTAAATAAAACCAGAAATTTATCAGAATCTTTGAGCACAGAGAGGCACTAACCTATGGGTCCCTCTAAAGATGCCTGACTGTAAGCATTTTGGAGCTACTTTTATCATGCCTGCTTTCCGCTCAGTAATGTTCTGATGCTGATAATTTCAAAATTGTTTACAAGTTGTCTCAGGAAACAGAACTGCAGATGTGGAAAACACTCTGAGACCTTGGCAGAGGCAGGACAGATGAAGAGAAGGGGTGTTAAATATACTTAGAGATGTTGCCCATGAGGTCTCTTATTCTGTGATTGGTGTTCAGACCCTGCTGGAGTATGATGCTCATGGAAATCATTCCTTGAGAAGTAAGAAAAAACTTCATGAGTGCACAGACATGCAGCTCCAGGCTTTCTTCTGTGACCCCATGTGTCATAGAAAGACAGATCCTTGCATGCCTGCTGGGTGCAGGATGTGCTGTGCTACTGCTGGAAATCTTCCAGCTTCCACAGCTTCAGAGATTCAGAGATTCAAATAAAATCTCTCTACAGGACCCACACCTCCCACATAGAATGTACCACCTCAAATTTGGTCACCTTGTCCCAGTGAACCAGGAGTGCCCCCCCTAATAAATGAAGGGCAGAACGATGTGGAGAGGAGGACAGTAAGGCTACTGACATTTAGGTTAAGTCTGACCCCATAGATGTTGTGGTTTATGGCTTCTCCTGATAGCTTTAGGGATATAAATATCAATTTTTGTGAATTCACATATACCTTTCGATGTTAACAGAAATTTTCCCTCTTTCCATATGCCAAAATCCTTGTACCAGAATTCCCCACTGGAGACCGAAGGCAGCAATGAGCATGTTGAAACCAACACTGCTGAATCCATATTTCTTCAGAAAGGTCATCAGGAAACCAAATCCAACAAATATCATCACATGGACATCCTGAAAGTCTGAAGGGAGAACACATCTATGTAGAGACTGCAAAGAGTGATTAAGAAGGGTAAAAATCTGGGGAAAAAATGGTCATGCATGTGATCCATTCTTCCCACTTCATGACCAGTCTACCAGCTGAAAATGGAATGTCTGGAAAATGCCACACCTAAATATTAATTATATTTATTCCTAAATCATTATGTAAAGCCACTGGATCTCTATATTTGCAAATTTACTTGTGTCTGGCACTGTTCTCTCTTTGTGAAGCTACCTGGAATATCATCACAGCTTCATGTCCTTATGGAAAAGTTATGTTCCCCTTACAATCAAGGTGGTCAGAGCCAGTGTGTTCTGACTGACTCCAAAATGGTACATGGGGTTTGTTTGCGTGAATGCTAGGTGTCCCAGTGCAAAGGAATGCTTGAGATCCCTAAAAATTACTGTCCAAGACATTGATCTTTTTACATGGATAAAAGAAAACTTAATTTTAAGGCAAAGTTTAAATTTAAAAATTAGTATAGTTAATCAGGATACCATTAGTCTTCCTTCAAATATTTAGGGATTTTTTGAAATATGAATTTTGTTGAAATATGGTTAGTTCTTTTTCTACTTTTTAGAGTTATTACTTTAATTTTCTTTTTATGGTTTTAATACAAACTGAGTCTATCATCACAACATGGATACTTTATATTTTAAAATATTTATTTTTACTTTTAAGCTTTATATGATTTAATTGACTCTAAACCAGATAGGTTTGAGTCCTGTAATTGCAATTTTTTTCTGATTTTACTGTTAGTAAGAACCTCCAGCATAGAGAGACCATTTAAAAAAAAGAAAATTTCATTGCTCTTGCATGCCAAAAAGCATGAAATCTTGAGCTGGTTAGTGTAAATTTGGCTTGAAGTTGCAATTCCCACTACTTGAAGCATTCCACAGTTTTGCATTACCAGACCTAGCCAAAAGAGGGCCCAGAAGTATAAGAAGTTACTGGGGTTCTGAATAAACTCTTTTATATTTGCCATGCCTGCACTTGTATCCACTAGAAACACATAAATTGCAAAACTACGCTTTGGGAATAATCTCAGCATAGCCCTCCTTACCTGAGTGCAAAGCTATGCTGATCCTCCACTATGTTTTTAATTTTCCTTCTGTCCAAAACCACTGAAACAGCTTGAATTCATGGTGCTGAGGTGTATAAGGCATACAGAATCAGGCCTTGCACTGCAGTCCTGAGAATACAAATTACCTCCTGGATGAAGGAACTAAATCTCAGGTACAGATGGGTTAACATCCTAAGGCATAGCATGGGAAGCAGTTTGATTCCATCATTTTAGGGACTCAAGGGAAGTCCTGGCTCAAGACACTTCCTAATACACCTATATAACCCTAGCATTATATTTCTGCCAAGTCCTCAGGCAAACTGCACTTCTGTCTCCACTTTATACAGGTAAATTTGAGAATAAGGGGTCCTAAAAGTGAAAATACAGGTGTTGTTAAAATCTACTTTTATTCCCATTCCTTATTGTGAATGACCGCTGTGAGGCCAGCATCTAAAAATTCAACATGACATCGGTGTTGTTTGCTTGGTTTATGTCTCTACTGGTAATCTGAACAGCCTGGCGAAAAGAAATATATGTTCTTCTCTCCTAAAACACTGTTCCCACCTTAAGAGTAGTCCCTTATCCATGCTGTGCCTAAAGCCATGCCTGGCAGGAGGTCAAGGGGCCAGTTTGCAGGAGCCCAAACCATTCCAGAAGGCTGCTCACAGGTCAACAGTGTGGGCAGCTGAGGGACAAGTGTGCAGGAATAACACACTCATACACTGCCTGTGCAGGGAGACGTGGGAGATAGCAGGAAATTCATCCAACACTTTTTAGACACTGATATTAATGAAGAAATAAGCATGGGTGATCTCTGACTGGGTAGGTTACATCTGAAGATCTATACTGTAGTGTTAGTACAACTACCTGTGCTGTCAAATTACTCATGTGGGTTTTGGCATTGCTTTTGCTTAGGCCAACAATCACCTCCTGAGTGCGAGTGGGCCAAGAGTAATTCCCAATACATTGTCTTGACAAAGCCACCTCATTTAGGAACTTGGAGAGTTCAATACAACTGGGATAGTTTAATATGACACCAGCTAAGAGAGCGGCATTTGCTCGGCCTGGAGAAGAGAAGGCTCTGGGGAGACCTTAAAGCATCTTCTAGTACTTAAATGGGGCTTATAAAAAAGTGGGGGAGTGACTTCTTAAATGGGCAGATAAAGATAGAGAAGAGGGAACAGTTTTAAATTAAAAGAGGAGAGATTTATATTGGGTATTAGGAAGAAATTCTTCCCTGTGAGGGTGCTGAGGCCCTGGCACAAGTTATCCAGAGAAGCTGTGGCTGCACCATCCCTAGAAGTGTCCAAGGCCAAGTGGGACAGGGCTTGGAGCAGCCTGGGATAGTGGAAGGTGCCCCTGCCCATGGCAGGGGGTTGGAATGAGATGGTTTTTAAGGTCCATTCTAACTCTAACTTTCCTTTGGCTCTATGAACATCATTGACATGGCCAAACTGTGTCATGGAGAGTGGGCTCTGGCACAGCCCAAGGTAGCATAACTCAGGGACACTGCCACATCTCAGTGGAGCTAACCTAAGTGTGAGTAATTGGCCCCTGATGTCCATCAGCAGACTTGCATCTGGAGCTGAATATGCCCTCATTTGCTGTTCTCTGACCCAGACAATGCTCTCTGGGAGAATACACAATATAAGCTTACTCCAACCTGAGATCACACGCCCCTGTAACAACCACTGAAAGGACAGTTAGGATGAGAGAAAAAGGGTTCAAAATTACATTCAAAATTACACAGGTGCTACCTGCAGGCCTGGAGTTCTGTAGTCTAGGATCTTAATCAAGCACATTGCAATCAGGGCTTGAAACCATTGAGGCCTCAGAGCCAAAAAACTGAACAACAAACCTTCAATACAGCCAAGAAAACAGTTTGCAGTGCTGCAAACTTTGTTTTCTATTAATTCACCATAGTCTTGTCTTTGCATGAGGGAAGTGAGTAACTACTTCTCAGGCCAAGAGCTTTTTGTGATCTTCACCAAGTATTTGCAGACCAACAAATCAACAGAAATATTTTCAGGCTAAACCATTACTGCCTAATGGAGACACTTCTTTGGAAGATAGCAGGGGGGAGGATAGAAAGTGACCACTTTGTCACCAAAACTATGGCCCTTTTTGGAGTCCAGATTTCACAAACATTTTATAGCAATGATGCATATACAGCTAATTTGCCTGTTCTCATAAGACACCTCTTTCAAACCTGGATGTTAGTAATGAAATGTTCCATTAATTTTAATTATTTAATACATTAATCAGGATAAAAGATCTGGTAAGAAACACCCCCATCTGTCTCTGGAAAATGCTGGACTCTTTCAAAGCAATACACAGTTCTCCAAGTCTTAACCTGTTGTGCAAACACTAGAACTATTTCTCAGGCTCTTCTTTCCCAGAAAAGCAAACTTCTCAGCAGTGAGGTGCTTGCAGAATTTTCTGTCTGCTCAATTTGGATTAATCTCTGAAGCCTGCTACTTTCACACATCAGAAAAATGTGTTTGCCCCAAAACACAACTTTCTTTTTCAGCTTTATCAGTAGGTCTCATAAGTTATTCAGAAATCTTGCTTATGATCAGTTTAAAGAAATTTCAGCTTCTATAAATCTTAGACAGAAGTACTTACGTGGATATAAGCTTGAAGAAGGATCTGGGTCATAATCCACAAATATCCCATACAAAACAATGACAATCACTTCTAGAAAAAGTGCCAGGATCGAGAACTTGAACTTCATGTTGGTGTCAAAGTCTGGAGGCATTGCTGGAGAGCAGGTGGCTGTGAGAACTTGATAATGGGTGTTTGCCTTCAGAGGAGCTGGCTAATTCTGTGGATCTGGGTGATATAGTAAAAAAAAAAAAAAAAAAAAGAAACAGAGACGTGAACACACTGCCCCACCTACTATGGGAGGGAAAAAGTACAGGTCAACATAGTGATTTCGATTTCCCAGGGTACTTCTGTCTGTGAAATGTTGGCTTGTATGTGTTTTTTTTTTCTGGTTTGTAATGCAAACCATCTCATTCAACCACAATTGTACTTCTCACTGCCTATATGTATTTTAGAAAGGAAATAGCCTTCAAGAAAATCTCACAGAGCCTGGTTTGCTGAACATAGTAAGGAGCAGTGACCCTCAGTTGTGTTCCCTGTAGTCAATAATATTTTCAAGTTGTAGCACTTCTTCCAAAAAGTAAATAATTTTGCATTGCAAATAAAACGTGGAAAATCACCTCTCTTCATATAGGCTGTGATGAGCAAAGAGAATCTTTCAACAACCTGAAGATGTATTTTTTTTATTTTACAGTGAAGTACTCATTCTCAGCACAAGTTCTCATTGTAAACTTTGATTTAAAAAGAAAATGATTGTACTCCTTTAAACATAAAAAGGATATTCATAGTTGTTAAAAAGGAAAGCTGCAATTACTAAAAAGAGGAATTTGAAAAGAGCAACTCAATTTTTCATTTTTAATGATTGCAGGTTTTTTTAACATCCCCCATAGCTCAGACAATGGAAATAGGTCAGAGACCAAATTTACTACATTGTTTAAAAAGCTTACTTTGTAAACTTTCTCACAAATGGAGGAGAAAAATAAATTTCACATAGTTTATTGTTGGATCATCTCTTACTCTAGAGAGTCATCTTGCTTGTCAAAATTTGTTGTGAGTCTTCAAAGTTTTGTAGATAAAATGTTGAATTGATGTGAGCAAATTCACCTGTTAATCCAACAGTCAGAGAACAGGGCAAAATTGTACATCAGGAGATTTTATTTCAGTAAAAATTGTATCTATTAAAAAGAGGGATGATACTGTAGTAGCTGAGTAATTGGTCATGAAGAAGTAATGCCAGAGTACAGCAATAAATGCTGTGTCAGTCCTTGGGTATAAAAACCAACTTAATATAGAGATGTTGGGAGAGATGTTAAGTTGGGCTGCTGTCCTGGTGAGATACTGCTGGAAAACTGCTCAAATGCTATGACATTTAAAAAAATCAGTTATTTTTTTTTAAGGTACATCTATGCTGGTAAAAGGCCAATGCTGTGATCTTTACTCTGTTCCTAAGTCCAATTTAAAATTCCCTAATATAAAGGTAGAGTTAGACCATTATGCAAACAAAGTTTGAAGTTATCACAGCTTTTTCTTCTTGAAAATGAGTCTGTGCATTTGGAAGAGAAAACAAAATATTTATCAAGAAACCATTTGTCTAACACATAATCAAGCCTGCAAGTGGCAAAGCTAAAATAAGCACATATGTGTTTTTTCCTTACATCACAACTGTATTTCATCTGAGCAGCTCAAAGAGAGGAAACAGAGCTTTGTTAAAAAGCTATCACCCTTACTCCACCACAGGATAGGACACACAGCCAGCTTTGATTGTGAGGACCTGTGAGCTCCTACATTTGCTCAGAAAATGATTTAAAAAAGGACAAACTCATGAGCAAAGCTCATTGTTTTTTTTACTCATAGCTCAGCCATGAATATCCTGCGTATTCATTGCATAAAGGTTTTCCTAGCGAAGATCTCACATGACATATATGCAATCCTTATTGCCTGTTAAGATGTTTTAGGGGTGCAAAAAAGTTTCCATGCTGAAATCTTGTCAGGAGAAGAGCCTTTTAATAGTGTTTAGAATTTAAAATGGGTCACATCCGTTCCATCAGGACTTTTTCTGAGGTTGTTATTTTATGTCTTAAATCTCGTGTAGGCATGGACATAGTCAGAGACACACAATCTGTATTGGAAGAGCATTCATCCATGTATTTTTCCTTTTTCCTTGGCCAGGAAGAATTACTTAGCTATTTTTCCAGTGAGGTGAACTAATGCCCAGCAGCCACAGAATAGCCCCTAGACAAGTACAGGTGATTTACACACAAATAGGGATACTGAAGAAATTATATTCCAATAATTAAGCACTCTAATATTTGTTCTTCTGAATAAAGGAAACATTTCTCTCTCACCACTAACAAGGTCGAATCTGTCACAAATTATCTTCAGATATATCCAACTTTAAGCTAAAAGCACTGACAACACAAATTGCCAGGAAGAAGGTGCTTTATCCAAGGGGTGGAGCTGGACTATTTTCCTCACTGGACTTTTTGGGAAAACCCAGTTTGGCCTGACTTACTGCCTCAGTTTTTGCTTGCTGAGATGGGCTTTGGCCTGTGTCCTATTTAGGTCTGGGACATTGCTTCAGGAAATGACAGGTGCTTTGGATATTCACCTCAAGGCTCTGCAAGGGAAGAATTGTGAATATCCATACCCTGGGTACATGCACACCCAGTCACACCAGCTGTGGAGAGTATGGAATGTCTGTCCTGTTAAATCATGAACGCAAGGTCTGGATCTTTCAGCCCTACATCACAGTGGGAACTTTGTACATAGGAGGTCCTACATTTAAGTCTGATGTATTTCCCAGCAGAAGCAACTGCCACATCAATGGCTGCCTGTCATTTCCATTTTTTCCTGATTGCCTTGTTTCTGACAGAGGCTTTCCACATGATGGGGAACAGCCACCTCCAACATCTCCTTTCAAATGGATTTGTGTGTCCACCCAACTGCTGCATAGGGCAATCAAAATGCACAAACCTTGAACTGTTCCTCTTTAGGAAATTTCCTTATGTCTCCTAATTTGCTTTATCCCAATCCTGGTGGCTTTTAATGCAAAGGAAAGAAGTGAGGGTGTTTGACAAATATTGTTGCACGCCTGGATCTACTAAATAACTTTATATATTTGTCATTCAAATAGCTGTAGGATTTTTCTTATCCATCTTTCCATCTAAATAGGACATTGGTGATATATCACAAACTTTATGTAAATAAATGTAAACAGTTATGGCAGAATTTTGAGCTTCTGGAATCATAAAAATAAGAAATAAAGGTGTTGCTTGGTCAGTGTCTCACCTAAAGAATGAGAAAGAATGTGCATTTAATAATCTTCTTAGAGAATGCCATCAAGCATCATTAGGAGTGGCATTCAACTGACCAGACACACTCTGTGTATTTCTGTACCTGGTCTAACCTGCAATGTTTTCCTTTTAAATCATAGACCCATGGAATGATTAAGGTTTGAAAAGACCTCTAAGATTGCAAAGTCTTACCATTAACCCAGCACTGCCAGGTTCACCACTAGACCAACACCACCAACTATACTCCCTCAGCACCATATCTGCAAGTGTTTTCTATTTATTTTCCAGAAGAAATAAAAACTTCAAAGAGCAATTGTTGTCATGGTAAAGGAAGTTACCTAAAATACCTGGCTAAATAGGCCAGATGAATGGAAGGGCCCTTTTTGGTCATGTTTGATGGCTGACACAGGTTCAAATCAGATCCAGGATGTCTCCTGGAAGAGGTTGATGTTATTTAAGACTCTGAGCTCACTTCACTGAAGTCTGAGCTACAAGGATTCCTCAGTCAATGTGGATTTACAAAGCATGACTTGGGTGCACATTAATCTTCAGTTTTCTTCCTTGGTGTGTGCTCTTCTTGTGGACACAGCTGTGGAGACCAGGGAGGTGGAGTAAGGTTCATCTTGCCTCCACACTGGGACAAAAATATTTCTTAGATCTCCTGAACTTGGAGCTAAGTTTTTTTGAGAACATTGACATTTATCCCATTTCTGCAGTGTTGGAGAAGAAACACTTTTTTCATTAAACATTAACCTCAATTCTTCGAGTCTGCAGACCGCTCAAGTTGAAAGCTCAGCCAAGAAAATACCGTTTATCCATGCAGTCCTTAAATATACTACTTCACATTAAAGAGAGAAGTAACATTCAGTGGATTTTCTGATCCTTAGATAGCAACAACAAAATCACAGAATGGGCCAGGTTGGAAGGCAGCACAGTGGCTCATCTGGTCCCTCCTCCCTGCTCAAGCAAGATCGTCCCAGAGCACAGGGCACAGGATTGTGTCCAGACAGTTCTGGAATATCCCCAGTGAGGGAGACTCCACAGCCTCTCTGGACAATCCATTCCAGTCTCGATCATTGCACAAGAAAGAAGTTCTGCTTCCTGTTCAGGTGGAACATTCTGTGCATCAGTTCCTGCCGATTGCCCCTTTGTCTTGACTGGATCCAAATCACCCCTACCAGCCTCTTAGCTGATTTATTGTAAATGTAGGTTGATATTGCAGTGTCTTTTTCTAAAATGAATGTGCTTTATTTTTCCATTTGAAATATCACAGACTTTGTTCTCTAAGATCTTACTTGATTACTAGACAGTATTTTTAATCTTTCTAGTATGCAAAGAACATCAATAGAAGCTAATAGTAGATGGAATGAGCTTTTTTTCCTACCTCTAAATAGAACAGGCCAAATAATTTCATCCTGTTAGACAATGTTCAGCTGAAACATGACTTGCTGAAAGGAGCATGTTTCACTTAAGAACTTCACTCTCATTTCTGCTTTTATTGCATGCATGTTGCAAAGCAGGAGTTAAACTCTTAGTGGAGGTGTATCCCAAAGTTGCAGGAAAGCTGTTTACTACTGTTTACTGAGATAAGAGGGTTCTGCTCTCTTCTGCAAGGGCCAGTGGGCCTGTCTGAACTGCTCTTGTGATAAAAAGGAACCTCAGCTAAGATGGATGCTTTGCATAACACCTAGGAGCTCTACCTATTATTTTATGAAAGCAGTAAGAAATAATAGCAATTAGATGCCCATGTTTCAGTCTCAGATGGTGAGTGGCTAATCATGTATTTTTATTGACTTTTCTTATGTTAATGTGTTTTTCTTGCTCCCTGTCAGTCCCCTGTGCTTACTTGCTACAGGGCACTTGATGTGGCTGTTCCTGCCTATGTGAAATCCTGTACAGAGTCTGGTTCTAAAGGCAAGAAGGTCTTAATCTTCTGAAAAAGA